TTCTTCCTACTCCGTGGGCGCTCGCGACGAGGGGATACAAATTTTCGCAGGGATAACTACCTTGGCACGACACCTGTCCGGTAATTTCGCATTCTGCTTACTTTTTTCCATATAGTCAGAGAAACAAACTCAATCCTGTAGTCCTTCGTTTAGCTATGCTGCGGTTGTTTACACTACGCCTTTTCCACCAAAAATGGCGTCTTAGCAACAAATGTCACGTGACTGGCGGAGACCGATATGATGCAATCGAGGGAACAGCTCCCAGCTTTATTGGAGCCCAAACATTATTGAATGAAAAAGTCAATCTAAGCAGGTAAATGATTGGGCTGCATTCTGTTCTCAATAACTAACTAATTTTTAACGCAGTCAGCATTCCTTTACCGCCATATTTGGCATCTCTTTCCATGTTTGACTTTTCATTCAGACTTTTTTCTCTTTGTTTTTCTGTCAGATGAGTTTTTATTCCTCTTAGCAGAAATATGGCGCTCATGAATCTGAATGGTCCACTAGCTTAAACCCGTACCTTTATATGTGCGCATTCACAGATTCATGATCAGTTCAAGCTGGATTGAATTAGCGAGTTCATAACCACCCAGGCATCAGGTGTGCCAGTTTAGAGCTGAAAGGAGGCTGGCTCCACCCACAGCTTCCCTTAAACTCTTCTTTGTTCTGGATGTGCTGCATCACTAACTTCAGCTAATAAAGTCATACCTGAAACAATCATTTATCTTCTCTGTGTTCTCTGCAGGTAGTGGTGGTGGGTGACTCTCTAGAGACAAGAAGATGTAAGCTGTCCTGATGATTCACAGGAGTTGAAGCTGCAGCAGCTAAAATTAATGGAGACTCTGACTGGATCATGATTTTAGGGAACTTTTTCCTATTTCTTTATGTCTGTAAACTGGTTGGTGATATTGTAGCTAAAATAAAAATCTAATAAAAGAGTTCCGGTTATGGCCGTGAGCTAGAAGGTTAAGTTCGAAACTGCTCTCTACAACAATCCTGAAAAATCCCTTGATTAGACTTCAAAACGCCCTAACAGTTATATTTCAACTTGATTCGGATACAACAATGCCTGGCCCTGGAAAAACCAGCAAGGATAAGGCAAAAACAGCCACGCAATCTAAATGAACTGACTTTGGACCGCAAAACGTGGAGCTAAGTGCTAAGGAGGCTAGCAAAGATGTTAGCGTTGAGCGGAGCGCTAGCAAAGAGGCTAGCGCGGAGCTAGCGCAACGCAGCGGGGATGACACGAACAGCCCACCTGGTGCCAAGGCGGAGATATTGGGGGCAATAAACAACTTAAAGACAGAGTTCGGAGTAAGATTTGATGGCGTCATGACTGCCATAAATGCTATATGAAAAGACGTGGGTGAATGTGCCAAACGTCTGACACACGCAGAGGAGCGCTTATCTACGGTGGAGGACGAGCAAACCGGGCTGAGGGCTACGGTCCGCAATATGGAGAAAAGAAATAAGTTTCTGGAGGAGAAGGTGGTCGATATGGAGATGCAAATTAGGCTCAGGTTGGTGAACCTCCCTGAAGGTGCCGAAGGCTCGGACACCTGTGGATTTTTGGAAAGCTGGATACCAGAGGTATTGGATTTACCCACTTTAAGAAGCCCGTTGATTTTCGAGAGAGCGCACCGCGTTGGACCGAAATGCAGAATCACCCCCAAGAACTGTAATTATGAGGTTTCTTAGTTATAGGCAAAAAGAAATGGTACTCAAAGCCGCTAAAGGAAAGCTGGATATCTACAACGACGGAGGTGCACAAACAGCGCAAGCAGTACGATGGAGTGCGAAAACGGCTGCGCGAACTTGGACTGAGACACAGCATCATTCACCCGGCTAAACTGGTGCTCACACACCGAGGGGAAACGCACAAGTTTGACACACCAGCGGAAGTTCAGGCTTTTATTAATGGGATTCAGGAGGTGCAGGAGTGAGGGACAAAGTGGCTGTTATAAGAATGGACTGGTGGAGTACAATAACTGCGTGGACGTTTCCCTATTTTTTTTTTCTCTATGAATAATACTTTTACGGTAAGAGCAAAGCACACTTTGTGTTCATAATGGGTGATAATGATGTGTTACATTGGTCCTTGTTCTTTAATACAGTTACTGCTGTAATTATTATATCCTCACTTTCATTATGTAAGGATTAGAGGTCATGTTGCTTATATTGGAGCATTTAAACATATGTTTAGGGAAAACTGATATATCTTTTTGTTGTTGTTTGGAGTCAGTGGAACAGATCATAGAGATCTGTACTTGACAGTGGTCGGAAGGAGTGAATTAGAGGGGTCTGCCCATTTGGATGGGAATAGTGGGTTTGTTTTTTCACATAGTTCAGTATTCGTTTGTTGTGTATGTTCAGTTGCACATGTTGTCCCTCTCAGGCATGTTTGTAGAATATTTATGCCATTTTCCTTTGAGTTGACATGACACAAGGAATAGAAATTAAATGTACATCCTGGAATTGCAGAGGCCTACATAAATCTAAGAAAATTAAGCAGGTTATGAATAAACTGAAGGACTTGGAATCTAAAATAGTT